CAGTGAGGCTTCCCTGGAGCAGAGACCTCTTTCTGATCTCTTTAATAATGTCCATGAACAAGTTGATAAAACTGCTTTGAGATCTGGAATATTGCTTCAGGAATGTGAACCCAAATGAATCAGAAGCTACTGTGAACCCTCGCTTATTGATGATTGGCAAAAACACTGTTCATTCTCAAAGAAGGACAATTTGGAAACCCTCCCAGATTAACATATGCATGCACGCTAAAATAACCCAATACTGTGCAGGAATTGAGCAAGAGATAACTGATATTAAAGTATCATCAGAATTGACAGTATGTGAATTATACCTGTAAGCAATAACATGGATACATAAACTAGAAAACTACAGCGTGAGAAAAACTAGACAAAGGAGATGGCAGAAAATAAGAAACTGTTTATACTAAAAATGCAGTTTTAAGATTTATAGTCTATTATATTTGATGCTATCTTCTTAGTCTAGGCTTAGTAGGTTTCTATCCTATTTATCCACATTGTTGCTTCACACATTTTTACTGCTGATGATACTTTAATATCAGTTATCTCTTTTCCCAATACTGAAAGCTACTATATGACCTGGCAATTCCACTCCTAAGAATCTGCCCAAAGAGCACAAAAAGACTAACTCAAAAGGATATCTGCACCCCTGTGGCTATGGAATCACAGTATAGAAGGTAAAATATGGAAACAACCCAAGTGTCCAAAAATAAGGTGACTGGATCAAGAATCAGTGGTGTATATACTCAATGGAATACTAGTCAGCTATCAAAGATAAAAAATAACATTTGCAAAACATGGATGAGCTGGAAGGGGTTATGTTCCAAGAAATAAGACAAAAGGGGAAAGAAAACTATCATATGATCTCACAAATTGGAGGGCTATAGGGGAACCTAATAAGGGGTCAGGGAAAGAAAATCATAGCAACTAAAAAACCTCACAATTAACAGGAAGCTATAAATCAGAGCCATTCTACAGGGGAGGAAGGAGGAGAGATAGCAAAGCAGAGAGGGAGAGCATGGGGATTTTGGTGATGGTGCATGAGTGAGTTGGTGGTGGGAATTTTATGGGGTCTAAACCTGAGAGAAGAAAGCAAGCATTGTACAATAATGAGCACTATGTACGAAATATGCATGAATGAATAAATTATGTTCAAACTATATATGAAATTATGTAATGCATTAATAAAGATGTACATTCCTATCTGGACAAAAAAAAAAAACCCAAATCTCAGCTCTCACATTTCAGGAGCAGGAGAGAAAACCAGGTCCCACAGAGCCACTCTCAACACAGACATGCCGCTGCATCCCTCTGCAGGACTTTGGCTGCTGCACACCTGACACTGAGCCCTGTGAGTCACTCCATGCATGGGGTTAAAGGGGGCACAGCTCCCCAGGAGCAGCAAATCACACCATTAACACGTCCTTTCCCAGGGCAATTATCTAGAGCCTGAAAGCTCAAGGACTGAAAAGTAAACTGGAGGCTGCTTCTGAGGTGTCCATGGTCCCTCAGAGCCCCTGCCCTTCAGCAGGGTATGCTACTGAGTGGAGGGACAGGGACCGGGTATGTGTCCAAAAGTTTCTTGCTCAGTTGAATCTTTCTTCACTGCTTTTCCTGAGACAAAAGCAGCACCTTACCTCATCATCCCATAGAGTGGTCATTCCAGTCCTCTTTCCTGTCACTGG